ACACAGACAGACATTCTTCTGGTATTCCCTGCTTTCAGCTAAGATCCATCTAATATCAGCTACAATATCCCTCGTACCACGACCCTTTCTAAACCCAGCCTAGACTTCTGGCAGTTCTCTGCTGATGTGCTGTTCCAGTCCTTTTTGGATAATCTTCAGTAGAGTCTTGCTTGCATGTTAAATCAGTGTTATCGTACTACAGTTTCCACACTCTGTTGAGTCACCTTTCTTTGGAATGGGAACAAATATAGATCTCTTCCAGTCAGATGGCCAAGTGGTCACTGAAAACCCGATGGGGTGCAGTTCTACTCTTCTACACTTGGGGGCACAATGACTGGCATTAGCTGGACAGAAACTATAATGGAGACTCCATAGGGTTTTCTAAGTGGCATTCTTTACTGGAAAATGTTTGGTGGTGCAATGTTCCAGTGATCATCTGCTAACTGAAAGGTTGGCAGTTCGAACCCAATAGTGGTGGCACAATGTTCCAGTGACTATCTGGTAACTGAAAGGTTGGCAGTTTGAACCCGATAGTGGTTCCACTTGGAAGAAGACCTGGAGCTCCATTGCCATAGAAATGGCAGTTCCAGCAACCTTATGAGAAGCTTACTCTGCAATTATTGTTATGTGCTGTCAACTATGACACATATCGACCTTATCACAATAGCTGAACTCTGCCCTGAGTCATTCTCACTGTCTCTAACACACCTGTCCCCACTGCCACAGTCACTGTGTCAATCCATCTCATCCCGAGTCTTCCTCTCTTGTGCTAATCCTGTACCCTTCCAAGTTGACACCCTTCTCCAAGGACTGGTTCCTCCTGGCAATATGTCAAAAGTATTTGAGAAGGAGTTTCAAATCCTTGTCTCCAAGGTGCAACCTGGTCTCACCCTCTCTAGGACAAACCTGTTTGTTCTCTTGGCAGTCGCGGTATATTAAAAACTCTTCTCCAGCACCACAATTCAAGGCATCAATTCTTCTGTCATCATTAATCATTAATCTAGCTCTCAGATGCATAGAAAGCAATTGAGAGGACCACGGCTTGGATCAGACACACCTTAGTTTCTAGAATGGCATCAATGCTCTCTAGCATTCTGAAGAGGTACCTGACAGTAGACTTTGCTAAAACCTACAGAGTCATTATATGTTGAAATTAATCAATGGCACACAAAAACAATTTTAGTGGGAGTAGGTCATCAGTTAATTGTCCCCTAGAAAAGCTGTGTGGGTCTCAACTGCCATTTTTAAATTTTTTTTTTATTTAACATATTGCATCATCAGGGAACAAACACCTTCAAAACAATGACAGTGAATTACCACTTCTTCTCCATCTCCCAAGTCTAACGCAGTGCCTGGCAAACACCAAATTTCTGGTGGATTAGTGTAAGAACGTGTGCTGTAATCCCAAAGCACATGCTTCAGTCCACCAGCTGTTCCACAGGAGAAGGATGGGCACTCTCCTCCAATGCAATTAACGTCCTCTGAAAACCTGCTAGAGGGTCAGCTATCGGTTGGCTCTGAATCAATGGTACAAACAAAAGCACTACATATGTTCTGAGTGAAATAATTTTGAAAATCAGACTCTCCTGAAAAATATCAAATATATATTAATGAGTTAATCTGAGCATATTTTTACCTTCAAAAACTACATGTTTATTTCCCCAATTCTTGGTCTCAATCAAAGGTGCAAGAAAATATTGATAGAGATTTACATGGTTTATGAAACACAAAGCCCCACGGGAAATCTAAAGTAAGCTATTTATTAAGGAGAGGTCAAAAATCCAAGTTGAAATAAAGCCAGTTATTTTAACATAATTTTAGCTGATTTGCATAGAAGGCGGCAAATTAGAATAAAGAAATTACATTGTTCTTCTATTGTACCTATTGATGAAAGGACATATTTATCAATGATATAACACTTTAACCACTTCAGAGAAAACACACTCTTCCCATTTTATCCCCAACCAACAGATCACTGATGCAGCTGATAAACCCCAAACAAGACAAAACTTACACAAGAATCCTTGGACATCCTCTGGGCAGCCATGATCCGGCCAATCTGTATATTGCAAATGCCACACTGTCTTTTCCTGCCCAGACAAAAGGTGCTTGACCTTCAAGCCCGTGGTTGCATAGCAACCAGAATCTGTTCGGAACTTTGTGGTGACCTTGAACTTGCCATAGGTGGCTGAGCTGTGCTTGGAACCCAGCTTGGGCCAGTATCGGTGACTCTTGGTTCTGCCGCCCTCCTAAGTCACACACAAAAGCAAAACTGAAAATAAGTCAGGGGAAGTTATTATCCTCTTATCTTACAATCGAAGGATAACAGGAAAACACAAAAAGCATCTACGTTACTACGCCAGTAGCACTGTGCGGTGTCTATCTCATAGCAGATCCTTTCAATTTTGGTTGAGATTGAAAAGAAGATTTACAATGACTTACACTCTGATGGAAAATTCAAAAGATTTACAATTGAGCTACAGCTGAAGATTTAGGAGCAAGTGCAATGTCTATAGAATGAGAAACAAGGCTGGTGCGCTCTGGAAATGGAAACCCATCAGCGTAGCTGAAGTGTGGCAAGTTACGGGCAGGCAGGCAGGGAGGGGGTCCAAGCAGCCTCACGAGCAAACAGGAAGGAATCTGGATTTTACTCCGTGTACCATGGGAAGCCATCAAAAGCTTTAAACAGGAGTGACAGAGTCTAATAACCGTTCTCAACCAGGCGTCTTAGTTTTCCTAGGGGAGTACTGAATCACCCCAGAAGCTTCAGAAAAGTGAGTGGTACGGCTAGTACAAGAATCCACACCTCTTGTTAAGCCCAGGGTTCCTTCCATTACATCACAGACACTGATGCTATTTCTATTGCCTAGTGTCAGTCTCACTAATAGTTTCTTAGCCCGATCACCTGTTTTTGTTCAATCTATGTACCCGGACTGCTAGAACAAAAAGGTTCTTCCTAGAAAGGATGGCATCAGGCTGCTCCTTGGAGTTAAGGATTATGCAGCTTCGTCTGACATACTTTGGACATGGTGCAAGGAGGGACCAGTCCTTGGAGAGGGACATCATGCTTGGGAGGCTGGAGGGACAGTACAGGAGAGGAAGACCTTCGATAGGACAGACTGACTCAGTGACTGGGATAGTGGGCATAGGTGTGTCAGGACAATAAGATTGGCAGAGGATGGAGCTGGGTTCAGAGCTGTTGTGCATAAGGTTGCTATGAATTGCAAGCGACACAATGGCACATAACAACAACAGCCAAAATGGACAATAGCTGGCTTTTTGTCCACTATTCATTCTCTTAATTGCTATCACCTTTTCTGAGCATGCTGGTTATTAACCATTTACACAAAGGAATCTATTTTATATTTCAAGTGGTTTTGAAATCTTTGCATTTGGGTTGAGGGAGTGTGGCTGAGAAGGAGCCCTCAAACAGGGAGTATGGGTAGTTCACACAAAGCTGAGGTGGTAAGGACAAGCTCTGTGGTTCTTGCAGTTGGACCCCAACACTGCCATGGAGCGGCTCCCTCTCCACTTTTTTTACCTTGTTCTGTTTTCTCCATGGCACTCAAAATTATCTGCACTGTCTTCACCTGTTGACTTTTTACGATTTCTCTCTCTAGCTCGTAAGCTCCAGGGAGGCAAGAACCATGACTCTGAGCTTTGCACAGATGGGACACTCCACCCGTGCCTTATAGTGATAGTAATCTATGAGGCTGTAAGTCTACTCTAGAGAATTCTGCTTTGTTGGGCAGTCAACTCAAAGAAGTACCGTTGGCTTAAAAAGCTCAAGGTTCCTTCTACCATTATTGTTGAACAGGTTGTGGTGGAAATCAACTGCTCAGAATAGTCAATGAAGAGAACATACCTTTAAAAAAAGAATTCTCTTGGCTCTCCAGACCCTCCCTTAAAATAACTCAGAAAAAGGTATTGTAATACCACAGATATTGGTGAAATATTTAGACAGTTCCTTAAATGACTTAAAAACATAATTCAGAGTTTCATAGCCAGAATAAAAAGGAGGTGAGAATAAAAAAAAGGTTGAGAATGTGAAAAGAGCAGAAACATAAAACTTTTCCCTCTGAAGACAGCAAAGTGCAAAGCTGAGCTGACTTGTGAATGTCAATTTGTAGAACACTCAGGAAGGCTCAGCAGTTACACTAGGAAATCTGTGTTTGGTTTGACAAAAGGGGAAAAAAAAGATCCTTGCCCCTCTCCCCCAGCCCAGAATAGAGACCTCTACAAGAAACACAGTTCCTGGTGTCTTTTCATCTGAAAGGCACGATGGCATGTGTGGTTGGGCAGCACAGGGCTGTGAACACACTCTCATACACTCAGAACAGCTGGGGATGCCAATTCCAGGGAGAAGATCATTGACTCGTTTGGCAAACAGGTGGTTGAATCAAAGTTTTAAAAATTTAATTCATAGCAATCAAAGGAAGAGTCTGAAAAGCTAGATGAAAATGATCTCCCAGGAAAATAACCTAGATTATATGGAAGTGAGGAGAGAGAACTGATGCATGCCAGAGATGGGAACTCTCCTCCCAGGTGATTAACCACCTCTGAAAACCCGCCGGGGGGTCAGCCGTGGGTGGGTTCTGACTCTCGGTACACAACAACAACAACAACAACAACAACAACAACAACATATGGAAGTGAGGAGAGAGAGCAATGCATGCTCGAGAGTACAGGATCTGCAGAGATGGTTCTGCAGATAGGAAGCCAAGGCAAGAGAGTCACGGGCATGAAGCCAGCTTTATGGCCTCTCATCTTTTGGGGAAGGTGGCCAGGAGGATGCCCTTACCTCCTCTGCGGTGACAATGGCGATCACATTGGCCCCTTGCTCCCACACCATCTGCCAGAAGTCATGGCAAGTGTGTGGCAGGGGCCCCTGAGTGGCGATGTAGTGCCATTCGGCCCCACCAACTACCACCTGGAAAACAAAGACAGCATCAGTCAATGACGGCTGAGTACGGAGATAACAGCTGAGGACATGTCCCTTTTCAATCACTTTGGCTCTTAGATAATGCTGTTGCTGTTGTTGTTATGGGCTGTCATGTCAGAACCAACGCAGAGCTGACTCTTCGGTGGGTTTTAAGAGGCTGTAAATTGCACAATAGAAGTCAGCCCACCTTTCTCCTGTGGGGCAGGTGGTGGATTCGAATCATATACCTTGACGTTGGCAGCACAAGTTCTTAACACCAAGCCTCCAGAACTCCCTGGATATTGTTGTTGTTATATACCATCAAGTTGGAATCAACCAATATACATTTATGTCTATCTAAATAGACTCATATTAACATATATACACACATGAGTGTATGCATCTACATGTACACATATGTTAACACACATACACACTTATGTGCATGTATCTACATGCATACATATGGTAACATTAAAAAGCTCTCAGACTCATTGCAACCAACTCAGAATGACCTTTCAACAGGATTTCAGAGGCTCTACACCATATGTTAGGAAAATGCCTATAAATTTATGTGTAGCTAAATAGATACATATACATATTAATGCATATATGCATCTATCTGTGTATATCTATATAAACACACATACGAACACATTTATATGTATGCGTCTATTTATGTTGTTGTTGTGTGTCATAGAGTTAGAACCGACTCAAAGATGATCCTCCAGTGGGTTTGCAGAGGCAATAAATCACACAGAAGGAGCTTACCCATCCACGTCCTGTAGAGCATGATTTAAACTGTGTACCTTTGAAACTGTAGCACAGCTTCTTAACAGCAGGCCACCAGAGCTAGACACATACACATACTAAAATATATACATTTATGTATTTACTGATACATTTACGTATCTACAGATATAAACACAGACATAACAATAAATATTCATTTATGTGTGTATATGAACCTCTATCCAACACACATAAAACATACATTTATATGCATGTATGGATGCACATGTAATAAATGTATCCATTTATGTAAACACACATATACATGTACATTATATGATATGCATTTATGTATGTATAAGCTAATCAAATTTACTTGTTACAGAAATAATAGTTAAACCTATTATGAGTAATGGACTCCTGTACATTCTATTCTAGTCTGTTGTTATGTGCCGTCGAGTCACTTTTGACTCACAGCGACCCTATGTACAACAGCCCTAAACCCTGCTCTATCCTGTGCCAATCTCACTGTCTGCGACAGACCTACCCCAATTACCGCAGTCACTGAATCAATCCACCTCATAGAGGGTCTTCCTCTCCTACGCTGTAACTCCACACTCCCAAGCATGACGTCCTTCTCCAAGGATAGGTCCCTCCTGGTAACAAGTTCAAAGTATGTCAGATGAAGCTTCAGAATCCTTGCCTCCAAGGAGCAGCCTGGTTTAACCCTCTCGATGGTGAACATGTTTGCTCTCCTAGCAGTCCATGGTATATACTCTTCTCGAACACCACAGCTCAAGGGCATCAATTTTCCTTCTATCATCCCTAGTCATTGTCCAGCATTCTGATGCACAGCATGTTATTGCAAAGACCATGAATGGCCTGTATCAGGCGCACCTTAGTTTCCAGAATGACACCATTGCTCTTGAATACTTTGGAGAGGTCCCTAACAGCAGACTTTCCCATCACAATATGTTTTTTAATATCCTGAATACTGGTGTCAAGAGTGTTGACTGTGGAGCCAAGCAAACTAAAGCTGTGAACAATTTCAATCTCTTCACCATCTGTCCTGATGCTGCCTATCTGCCCAGTGGTGAGAATCTTTGTTTGTTTTCTTGACAGTGAGCCTCAATCCATATTTAAGGCTGCAGTCCTTGACCCTCTGCAGCAAGCACTTCAGGTCCTCCTCAGCAAGCAGGGTTGTGTCATCAGCATAACGCAGATTGTTAATAGATCTTGCACCAATCCTGATGCCACACTTCTCCTCATATAGCCCAGCCTCCCAAATAATCTTTTCTGCACATAGACTGAAAAGGAATGGAGATTCTAGTCTACTGAATTAAAAGAATAAAGGCAAGTATGACCATCAAAGTGATTACCTATTTTACTAATGTGCTGTGATCCATAGTTTGAGAAAAAATTCCCTAAGGTATCGTTTTAAACAGCAAAGAAAGTCTCCCATGTAGTAAGAATGCATAGTTTGGAGATGTACCTTCCCACACTGGCCTGTAGTAAACCTCCTCGTAACTGCCATAAGACAGCACTCTGTTGGCAGGGGCCTAAAGGACAGAACTAAATCAAAAGTGCATAGCATTTTATTAATACCCTCATCATGTGTGCTACTGCACTGTTCAATCACATCCACTTTCTGGAGTGAAGAGATGGTTCTGGATGCTAATTCCCCATGCAATGGAGGACTACTTGCGTGGCTCTGTGTAGTCTTAATGGTCAGCTGCAGGGACTCAGACGCAGGATGCTAGACCCAAAGAGCTCATCATGTGACCAGGGGTAAAATGGTGGCCCCTGGGGGTTTCTTCTGTCCCCTGTTCCACCTTTACTACAGTCACTTTACACAACCACTCAAGAGAGATCTGAGAAGCATTCAGGGCAGTCAAGTGATCACTGTTGGAAAGGTGGTTTCCTCTATTTTTTATGAAACTAGATACAAACTTCATTCAAACAAAAAACAATGTCTGTTATTGTCTCATTACACAAGACATGTGTAGGTCGAAGCTGGAAGGCAAAATCCATTTTCCAAGTACTTGAGGGAGGTCACATTCATATATTTGCTGGCTCTGCCTTTGGTTTATCTGTGGAATTGTGATTTTTCAATATTAGTTTCTCTGGCACCCAACATATAGGAAGTATAAATACTTCCAGAGATGCTGCTGCCTGGGGTCATTTGCCATATTCTCAGTATTGGCAAGAGGGTATTCAAAACCACACTGCAAACACAATCACCAGTGAGGGTGAAGTGAAACTCAACAGATGTGATTTTACCTCTGGAGCAAATAAAGCTCTGCTCTCTGTTCTGTGGTTCAGAACCCAGGGAGAAAACATGGCCAAAGAAAGACGTTTATGCGAAAACACAAGAAGTTCTTGCGCACTCTATTACACCCACCACCATCTAACCAGTAACCACTGGGTGGCATCCGGGCCTTGGAGAAAAGAGAGGAAGAGGATCCTGCTCTATTAACAAAACCAGAGGGGCACAGGTGACCACAGCTAGCTGATGCAATGACAGCTTTGCCTCAGGACCAGAGGGAAAATAGTAAAGGCAACTGGGGCAAAGGAGGAAGGCAGTATAACTCCCTAAGATTTTCACCATCTATCAAAAAACACCTGTGATTTATATCTTTGTCTGAATACCTTATTGTGGCCAGTGTTTCATAATCCATGAGATTCACCATCCATAGTTCAGTTAAGGGGAGCTCTGGTTGCACAGCCCATAGAGAGGTGAAGTACCCCAAAGTAGTACTTCCTGGGCAGTTTGAATCCCTCACCAACTCTGAGGGAGATACATGGGAATCTTCTCTGATGAGATGAACATCCTCAGAAAACCCACTGGAGGGTCAGTTGCTATGAGTCAGTTAGACTCAACAACAATCAGTTTGAGTATCTGAGCTTGAGTTTACTTACAGGCTTCCCAGTGTTGACTGTTCTCACAAATGCATACCTCTCTGACATTATTATTCATCATACAGGCCCCACTGGGGGGCTGAAAGATGAGCCATGGGTGTGGGTTCAGTACGAGATCAAAGGACAGTCTCTGAATAGAGATGGTAAACACAGGGGACACGCTGGGAAAACTGGTGCTGCACTGCAGAGATTGCAGTCCATATTACACACACAAACAAACCAATGTACAACATGCTGAATGGAAAACTGACTTTGTCTGTCTCCTAATCACGATGAAAATAGAAGGGGAAAAAGTTTCCTAGAATTCACTATTTTAGTTGCTTCTCTTTACCTATTCAATCTGTATGTTGAACAACTCATTCAAGAAGCTAGACTTCATGAAGAAGAATGTGACATCTGGATTGGAGGAAGACTCATCAACATTCTACATTACGTTAATGACACAACCATGCTTGCTGAAAACAAAGGAAGACCGGTGACACTTGCTACAGACGGTCTTCAATATGGATTACATCCCAACATCAGGAAAGCAAAAATCCTCACCACTGGGACAAAAGGCAACATCAAGATAGATGGAGAGAAGGCTGAAGTTGGTAATGATTTCACCTTACCTGGGTTCACAAATAATACCTTTGGTACCAGTAACTAAGAAATCAAAAGATGTGTTACAATGTGAAAATGTGCCGTCAAGGATTTGTCCATGGTGCTGAAGAATTGTGATGTCAGTTTAAAGATTAAGGTGTGCTTGATTCAAACGATAGCCATGTCAATGTCTTCCTATGCATCTGAAACTTGGACAGTGACTAAAGATGACAGAAGAACTGATGTCTTTGAGTTTTGGTGTTAGAGAACAGTATGGAATAGCCATGAACAAAAAATATGTATTGGATAAAGTGCACCCGGGATGCTCCTTTAGGGAAACAATGATGAAACTTCAGCTCACATCAATTTGGGCAAGCTGACAGAAGGGGCCAGTCCTTGGAAAGGGACATCATGCTTACAAGGTGGAGGGTTAGCAAAAGAGAAAAAGACTCTCAACAAGATGGATTGACACAGTGACTGTAGCAATAGGATTGTCAGGGATGGTAATGATGGCACAGAATAGGGTAGAGTTCCATTATTGTTCATAGGGTTACTATGAGATGTAGTCAACGCAACAGCACCTAACAACAACAGCTCAAAACTAAGACTGACAGTGGAAGAAGAAAAGGCATGATTAGAAAAAGGGTGTGTGTAGCTGATTATCTCCTTTGCCATGAGATTAGAAGATTATGATGTCCGGGTACAGTATAGAACATTATGATGAAAAATTATCTAGACAAAACAAGTTCTTTTACTTAAACATGCAGAACCAAATT